CTATACAGGGAACCGTAGACCACACTCTATGATGGAAATAACGTTAAAGGGGACAAAACCTTGTTTTTTCCAAGGAACGGTTTCTAGTTCGGCCAGTGAGAGGTGAACATCATCTGGAATTTGGTAGTCCTTACGAAATTCAGCTATAGCCCCTGGTGAGTTTACTAAAAATCTATACTTTCCCATTTGTGGTTTAAGTTATGAATAAATTAAACTGGAGTGTTAGTTAGGTCGGAGAATGATGTTGAGTAGCTTGGTTGAGCGCTCAAAGGAGTGCCTGGGCAACCTAAGTCTGCAAAGCGAAAAACAAAGGTGTTAAGCACAGATCGTTGGACCATGCTAAAACAAATAAAGGCAAGATAAATGAAGTCCTAGCTCGGCTATGTGAAGATGCTACAGGTCTTAGCTCGGTTTGAGCAAGGTGTTTGCTAGCCCGGTTGAGCCTCTAGGGGCAGCGTTCTTAGTTCGATCGGTGGATAAAGCTATTGGGGGAACAATCTTAGCTCGGTCTAAACTAAGGGAGCTGGTTTAGCCCAGGCAGCGATTGAGGTTTTCTAGCATGGTATTGCGCAAGCTCAGTGCGGTTCGATAACTCGGTTAAGTGAAACTAAAGGTACCTAACCAATGGAAACGACAAGTATGACGCTAGTTCCAGTTCGGTTGTCAGGTATGGCTAGGCTTGCAACCGAGGCAAACAAGTTTTCAGTTTGGTTGGAGTGAGATTTTGGATCAAAAGGAAAAATTGTTCAAGTTAATCATATTTGCAGTGGTTCTATTACATGGCTTTTCCCAGGAAAATGGAAGCAAACATGGCATGTGTTTTGAGAAAACATGTGTATGCAAATGCTATGCGTCTATACAAAAGGAAAACAAGAGAGGGTTGAGGTACTTACGATTTGGAGGAAGCAGATCGAGGCCCCAAGAGCAGCAACAAAAACACAAGCCACACAGATGCAGAGTTGAGGTGAAATGGGAACTTAGAAGGTAGAGAGAGAGAAGGGGATGAATAGTATAAAGATTGATTCAAAAACGAAGGATTTGTTTTATGTAGAGGGAAGGACAAAAAAGACGGGACTGTTTAAATTACGCGAAGTACGAAGACGGCGTGACAGCTGCACTGGGCCAATAAGTGTGTGCCATGTGTCCTAAGAATGAGAAGCGATTCAATTGCGGCGATTGATGAGACGTTTTAACCAGGCATATTTAAGTAGCCCAGTGTTAACCTAGCCCGGTTGGAATACTAAAGAATTTAGTCCGGTTGGAACGCTAAAAGTTTTTTAGCTCGGCTCATAACAAGTAATCCCTATCATGCTGTGCAGATGGAATTAAGGGCAATTGAGAGGGTAATTTATATACAAATTGGGCCGAGCTGGATAATTGGCCGTTGTGGGCCACAGTAAGAAGGGCGGAAAAAAGGGTCTTGGCGTTAGCCCGGTCCAAGAGAGTCTTGGAGTTAGCCTGGTCCTAGAAAGCCTTATTGTTATCCCGGTCCAGGAGAGATTTGCGGATAGCCCGGTCACCACACTTAGAGTTAGCCCGGTCGTGGCATAATGCAGTTAGCTCGGTCAAACCTAGCCATTCGTTAGCACGGTCTAAGCACATTATGGATTAGTATGGTTTGTACAGAAGAAACCAAGGTACACACAATAGAAGGAAAAACCGAGCTAGGTGGAGCTCGGTCTATTCTACGGCTTTAGCATGGCCATGTTATCCAGTCGTATAGACATCCGACCTAGGTAAGACCATCTTACTTGGTTTAAGTAGTGAGAGAGGTGTTGAAGGATAAGCATTATCTTTCAGGAATGTGATTCCTATGAGGATTCTACATGAAGGAGTAAGAATCCTACTAGGATTGTGCCACGCGGAACCTATAAAAGCTCATAACATCACCTATGGAGAGGTAACACAATTTTGATTCCCGAATACGCAGAGCTTTTGTCTATTTGTCTATTTTTCTGACTTAGGCATCGGAGAGGTATCCGACACACCCGCCGGCTAGCTCATGTTTGTGTTTTCAGGGAGTAAAGCGACGTCGTACAGAGAAGCGCAGACTTGATCAACAGAATTATACGAGAAAATTTATTTCTTTCCCGTACAGTGTGTATGTTCATAGCACCGATGTGACCATAATACTGAAGCAAATATTGTTGGTATCTCATATTTTCAAATTTTCAATCTATTTGAATATTATGGACAGTACCACATGCAATTTTTTTCCCAAGATGAGTTTCGTTAGAATGAAAAAAAGTTGAAGAGTGCCAATGAGGAAAAAAAAATTAACCTTTTTATAAATTTGTTTAGTATGAGAACAATGAAAAGTATTAAAATTTTCACACTAATATCAACATGATGATTTCTTTTTATTTTCTTGCCCAAAAAAACTTGGTAAAGAAACAGGAATTTCTTCCCATTTTGTTCGTAAAAGTAGTCAGCTGTATTTCACGTCTCAACTTTCCTATACTTATTTTTCTTACAAAATTTATATATATTTTTTGGTAAATTCTTAAAAAAATTTCATTTTTTTCCTTTTACTTCACTAATCAAACAGAACCCCAACGGACCTAAAAAGGCCATCAATTCTGAGGAGCCATCAATTTCTTCTTATTGATGTGCAAAATTCAAATTAAAATAATAATAAATATAATATAAAAATAAAAATAAAAAAAAGTGCGAAATTAACCAACAATACTTTCACACACGAGTGATTATTCAGTATTTTCAAAATATGAACACGTGGTGTTTCATAAGATTTTGATTGGTAAAGAAGAGTAGAGACCCATAATTTATGTTGAGAATAAAAAAATAACATAAGACTAAATAATTACTAGTTAACTTAAAATATGACCACATGCTGTTTTGAATAATTTCCCCTTTCACACACCACAATTTCAGACAATCAATAGGGAACAATTGATCACGGGCCACACTTAGTAAATCTGATCCAGTCAAACTTGGGACTTAAATGAGTGGAAGATCATTTGGGTGGGCCTGGTGGTTAGCTGTTCTGTTGAAAATCTCTCTCTAAAGCTTCGTTTGGTTGTGAGCTAAAAATGTTCATTTTGTTTTTTAGTAAATTTATTTCACTAAAAAATCTACTTTATTCATCGTATTAGAAAAGTCAAAGTTATAAATGTGCCAAATATTTTTTAAAAAAAATTATTTTTAACCAAGAAATTAACTTTTTATCAAAAAGAAGTCTAAATCCTACCAATATTGAGAGTAATAACAACATTATTTTTGTAATGTCATGAAGCAATAAAAATTTCAAAATAAAATTTGGTAAACTTCACCTGTCTCCCACTAATTCAATCAGAGTCACCCCATCACTAATACCACAATGTCAAATTTCTCATTTATTAGCAATACAGCTCCACATCAAGATCACTGGTTAAATTTTGTTGATGTATATCTCAAAAAACTATACTAACCTTGGAGCATAAACCCAAGTACAGGATAGCAGAAACAAAAGACACTCCCAAAATATTAGAAAGAACTCATAATAATATCTCCATGGATAACACCCAATCTCTCTCCACCACCCTTCACCTCTTATCCTTTTTTTTCTGGGTTGTGATCAAGTGGTTCAGGGAATCAAAATAAATTCGCAAAACCTCACTTTGCTAGCAACTCAGTGTTGGATCTCTTGCAACCTAAAGCATCTAATTTTGACTCATTTTCCACAAAGCACATTTCAGTAAGCTAAGCCAATTAGCCACTGAGTAAAAAGAAAACAAAATACAGGTAAAAAATAACGCAAACATACAATCAATCCAAGCAAGAAATGCCAAACTCTAATTAACGGTGCAAATTGATAAGAACTTTACAAAAGCGCGCTATCACAGGCAAATTGAGCATCTTTATTGATCAAACTGAACATACTATCAATATCAAATTCTATCCATTTATAAAGAGGTTGCTCTTTCAATCATTCCACCTACAAAGAATTGCATATTTCCTTTCTAAAACTACCCATGTCTTTGTTTCTGCAACAATGTACACATATATTTATAAAAGCATTAACATACTCTTCAGGTTAAATTGATTGTGCAAGAACTAAACCAAGACACCGAAGTAGCCAAAACCGACAGGTCTCATTAGAGAAGCTACTCCCCTCTTTTGGATAACAAAAACAAAATCCAATACCCCAATGATCAATATTGGCTGCAAAAGACTTCTCAAGGTTCATTGAATGTTAACCCAGAAATATATGTCTAATAAGCATGTGCAAGGACCAAGTTTTTGATCCCTCACTTAGACAAAAGTTCCTTGACATAAAATGAAGCATAATTCAAAATTAGAAATGTAAGAGTGGATTTCCATTTGTTGAAAATTGTTAATCTGACCTGTAAGGGTAAGTCACTGTGCAAAGATTACCTTAGAAAGGCAATCTACATCAGCACATAATATCATTGAACCACAGTGCACTCCTTCCACAAGGTCAAACCTGTAACAAAAGTCTTCACGAAACAATCACCCAAATCCCCCTGGCCGACAATTTTATCGTGCCCTCAAGACATTCCATTTCTCCAATTTAAAATTAGGACCATTGCCAACCTGTCCTACTTTGAAAAACTCTCTCAATCATCAATGTGTTCATGTAAAAACCAGAAACAACCAAAGACTTGGCACTCCCATTTCTATCAATGATCCAACATTCATTTAAGATGGTGATACTGGTAAGCACGTATATATATACATACACACAAATTAGGACCATTGCCAACCTATTATATTTTGAAAAACTCTCTCAATCATCAATGTGTTCATGTAAAAACCAGAAACAACCAAAGACTTGGCACTCCCATTTCTATCAATGATCCAACATTCATTTAAGATGGTGATACTGGTAAGCACGTATATATATATATATATACATACACACATACAATGCAGGTAGACATAATTATATTTAAATCAATGAAAAAGAATAGGGCATAGCATATTTTCATCCATTTATAGATATGTAATAATATTATCTAAAAACGTGGACAGAGAGGAGGATTATGAACTCAACTTATGGGAAAACTCCACTTATATCTCTTCTCCCCCACCACTTCCAATCCAAGAAGTGGTGAAGTGAATGTTTGATAATCAGTCTGATTCATCACATGGGTTTGGCCACAAATACAGTAATATACCATCAAATGCAATGTAATTGCACCTTAAGAAGACATACTGCAATTAAGGTGTGAAAGACTGACTGTTAATACCGGTGCCAAAACGAGTAGATAATTAAGAAATTGAAAAATTAACGAGGGCTGCCAACTACACCCACAGACATATGCCTTAATGGAGCCAATCTCATCTGCTGACCATGAACTCTGCTCTTCTTGAACAGGGGTTCTGGTGATGATGAAACTGAGGATGTCACTGCCCAAGAATCGTTCGAGCTATCGCAGCTGAAATTCACATCGATGACACCATTTGGGCTGTTGGGTATGGACTGATACTTGCGCTTGTGGGTTTGGCATTGCATTTGACTGTTGTTGCCAGGCAGTTCGAGGATGAGTTTGTAGCAATCATCTACTTTGTCCTGTTGAAATTGAATCAAGAATTGAAGTGTGGACTACGTGAAAGTAAGATATAAGAGAAACCCATGCGAGTAAAGTGCAAACCTTGCTCATTTTGAGAACATCCATAAGCTCATTTTGACAGTCCAATACATTAGAAGGCTCAACCTCTTTGATAACATGTAACATTGTTGCAGCAGCCAATACAGAAGGAAGATAACACCCAAACCTTGAATCTGTAAACAACACCCAATTTTTAACATTTCTCTACCTTATTTATAGCAATGGTGAACTGAGAGACGTTCGATTTGCTTACCAGTGATGGCAGAGAGAAGAAGGCGCTCACACCTCCACAGAAACTCCAAATGCAAATTTGTCTTAAATCCAAACCTCCTCACAATGTGATCAACAAATGAAAGTGGGGTCACAGGATTCATCTTCCATTGAAGAGTAGATAGCACCAGAAGCTCCATTCTCTGGATTGTCTTGGCTTCAAACACAAACTTTGATTCCTCCACCTAATCACAACGCAAAGAAATAAATCAATGAGAATAAAATGCCCAAAAACCATTCAGTGAGACATTTTCAGAAACACCCACATTGCGTATTTAGCAAAACAATAATATCACATACTTGGAAGTCTAAGAGAAGGGGCACTTGGGTCTCCTCAACTTTGGCAGCTAAAGAGAGACAAGCAACAGCAACAAGTTGACTCATCCATGGCTTCTCTCTCTGAAATGAAAGGCTTGAAATGAATCTATCAAAGTAGTTAACTGCTAAAACAGTGGTCAAAACAGTGAAACCATAGTGAGCAATGACCCTTAAAATCCAATCAACAGATTCTCTCCTTGCCACCATTAAGGACTCGTCTGAGTTCAAAACACTCAGACCCAAATGGGTCTCTTTCTCTTTGGAAATTAAAGAAACAAGCTCATCATCATCCCAATCCCAGTCATGTTCCAAGAAAACTAAAGGTCCTTTCACATTCTCATCACAGTTGTCACTCCCTTGTTCCAAACCATACTCTCCCAAATCATCCTCAAAATGCTCTTCTTCACAGTAGAGACCGTCAAAGACAAACATTGGGTTCTGTAGATGTGAGTCTTGCTCTGGGTAAGGAGACATCCTCTTCATCGGAGAAGAAGACAATGAAGGCTTTGCTCATTATCTTCAAGAGCAGATGTAGATGTAGAAAAAGAAGCTCAATCTTGGACCCAGTAGCATATCTGCATCTGTTTCCCCCACTCTATCTATCTCTCTCTCTCTCTCTCTCTCTAGACGCAAGAGAGAGAGCAAAAAAAAAAAGAAAAAAAAAAAGAAGAGAGAGATAGAGAGAGAAAAAAAAAAAGAAGAGAGAGAGAGAGAGAGAGAGAGAGAGAGAGAGATAGACCCAAATAGAAAGCGGAGGAGTGATTTTATCTGAGAAGGCTACCACGCTTGTCCTTTTTTTCCCCAGTGTTTTCTCTTACTTTCTTAATGATTTTCCCATTAATATAAGGGCTCTTAGAGGGGGTGTTTGGTGCTCAAGAAAATGGAACGTAACGGCATACTCGCCGAATCCTTCTATCAACAAATAACATCAACTGTATATATACAAGTAAAGATATAAGAGGGTACAGAGTATATCTACCTCGTAATTTAATATGGGATAAATTATACATATTTTTTTAGATTTATAAAAAATATACTAATAATTTTTATAATTTTAACGTAATTATGTTGAACTGCTTGTGTGGCTAACTGTTTGACCGCTCTCTTTTGGATCCCACTCTCAAAGAATTTTACAAGGGATATACATTAAAGATATTTTTTGTATTCATGAATACAAGTACAATTTTCAAAAAAAACGGGGGTCACGTTTAAAAAATTCACTAAATATCAAAAATGTTTTTTAAAAAATGAAAATTTAATATTTTTTTGTATTTATTAATTTTTTAAAATATTTTTTCACAAATATCTTACTTTTTAAATGCATTTAAGTAAAGTACATCTAAAAAAGTAGTAAAAAAAAACTTAAATTTAAAAAATATTCACTAAAAACAAAAAATACGAAAAATAAAAAATATAATTTTTAAAAAACTGAATTAAAAAAAAATAAAATCAAACACACAAAATATAATTTTACAATGGGATATACATTAAAGATACTTTTTGTATTGACGAGTACAAGTACAATTTTCCCCCAAGTCTTCGTTGGCCCTGTTTGGTAGAGTTGTGGAAAAGTACTTATAGTTTATGCCTTAACAGCTTATAGCTTATAACTATGAATATAAGCTGATTTCTGACTTATAATTAAGCATCTCCTGCCCCACTCAAAGAATAAGCTGATTTCTGACTTACAAAAAACTATAAGCTGCATTGTTAAGCTAAACCAAGCATATCAAAATAGTTTAAATTAAGCTGAAATAAGCAGCTTTTAAGCTGCACCAAACAGGTACATTGGCTCAATCCGGTTAACAACTAACTTTAACTTTTGCCAATTAAAAAATATATATAAATTATCTTAAAAGTTTAATTTAGAAAAAATTACTCTTAAATCTCATATAAGGGAATGTTACTCTATCTAGTCTTGGGTATATTTTGTTAAACTATTTAGTCCTTTTTATTTTTGGTATATTGTATTTTTTTTGAATTATTGAGTTTGTAGTTTACTTGTTTGTCCTTATTTGTGATTTTAAATAGATTTTTTCAGAGCAGCTTGGTTTGAAAAGTGGTTTGGCTTTTTAACTTTTTGGATTTTTTAGCTATTTTAGCCTGAGCTAAAAAGCTTGGTTTAGGAAGAGCTTTTTTGCTTTTTTGACTTTTTTTGTGAGAGAAGATTGTAATAATTATGGGTTTGATGTGATGTTTTATTTGCTATGGCTAAAATAGCCTATTTTGTTTTTTATGGCTAAAATAGTCCCAAACCTATCCAAACCCACTTGCCAGACCATGAGGTATGTTTTAACATTACTATTTTCTGGAAGAGAGAATTATGTAGCACTTTTTGAGAGTTTTGATGTTTCCCTAGTTGATGTTTTATTTTTAATGTGGATTTAGTGTGTTTTTTTTTTTTTGTTATTTATTGTTTCTTTTTGTGATTGGAACGTATACAAGATTTTTCGACGGTGATGGGTTTGTAACACCTTCCTCCGTGATGTTCATGTTTCTTTTGATTCGTTTAGTCATGATTGTCTTTTAATTTTTAACATGGAAAATGTTTGGTAGCCTAAAATTTTGTGGCTCAAATGGCTCAAATCTGTTAAAACGACGTCGTTTTACACTCAAAATCTGTCAAAACGACGTCGTTTTGAGTGATTTGAGCCATTTGAGCCACAAAATTTTGAGTTACCTAGCATTGTTGTTTTAACATACCATAATGAATTATGAGGCTATACCATCTTGGGTCTGGTATTGGTATGAAATTGTACTGATGTTTCCGTTTGTCATTTTGTCAATTTCGTACTGTGACATGGTGATGTTATAATTGTGTAATGCGTAGGTGACATTCGGAAGATTGTGTTCACATTGGCTAAAACTTCACATTTCTGTGTCCATTAATCTCCACATATAACGTTGTTTTGTTTGTTTGTTTGTATTTTTTTTTATTTTTATTTTGTTTTTTTATTTTTTATTTTTTTGCAGGTATGGTGTTTCGTCTTCATCAAACATTTACATTTGCACAGTTGATTCATGGTGTTGGTTCATCAAATATTCGAACGATACATTAGCTTCGAGGGGTCGACAATATGTTTTTTACTGAATTTTTTTAATATTTTAAGTGATTTTTTTAATTTTTAAACACACCTAACATAAATACACTTAAAAAGTATAATTTTCGTGAAAAAAATCTTTAAAAAATTCACTAACTATCAAAAATACCAAAAAATATTAAAATTTAGTATTTTTTATATTTTTGTGTATTTATTAACTTTTTTAAAATATTTTTTACAAATATTTATTTTTTAGATATATCTAAGTAAGGTGCATCTAAAAAAATAAAAAGATATGCTTAAAAATTAAAAAAAAAATCATTAAAAAAAATAAAAATAAAAAACACAAGTTTTAAAAAACTGAATTCAAAAAATTGAAACCAAACACATCAGATATAATTTTACAAGGGATATACATTAAAGATACTTTTTGTATTCATGAATACAAGTACAATTTTCAAAAAATAAGGGGGTCACGTTTAAAAAATTCACTAAATATCAAAAATGTTTTTTAAAAAATGAAAATTTAATATTTTTTTGTATTTATTAATTTTTTAAAATATTTTTTCACAAATATCTTACTTTTTAGATACATCTAAGTAAAGTATATCTAAAAAAAAACTTAAAATTAAAAAATATTCACTAAAAATAAAAAATACAAAAAATAAAAAATATAATTTTTAAAAAATTAAATTAAAAAAACTAAAATCAAACACACCAAATATAATTTTACAAGAGATATACATTAAAGATACTTTTTGTATTCGTGAGTACAAGTACAATTTTCCCCCAAGTCTTCATTGGCTCCATCTGGTTAACAACTAGAGGTGTGCATAATACCGCCGAAACCGCTGAAACCGCCAAAACCGCACTGAACCGCACCGCCAATATTTTTCTCTCAAACCGCACCGACCCGCACCGCGCACACCCCGGTTAACAACTAACTTTAACTTTTGCCAATTGAAAAATATATATAAATTATCTTAGAAGTTTAATTTAGAAAAATTACTCATAAATCTCATATAAAGAAATGTTACTTTATCTAGTCTCGGGTATATTTTGTTAAACTATTTAATCCTTTTTATTTTTGGTATATTGTATTTGTTTGAATTATTGAGTTTGTAGTTTACTTGTTTGTCATTATTTGTGATTTTAAATAGATTTTTTCATAGTGTGTGTAAGGTATGTTTTAACATTATTATTTTCTGGAAGAGAGAATTATGTAGCTCTTTTTGAGAGTTTTGATGTTTCCCTAGTTGATGTTTTATTTCTAATGTGGATTTAGTGTGGTTTTTATTTATTTTTTTTGTTATTTATTGTTCCTTTTTGTAGTTGGAACGTATAAAAGATTTTTTGACTGTGATGGGTTTGTAACACCTTCCTTCATGATGTTCATGTTTCTTTTGATTCGTTTAGTCATGATTGTCTTTCAATTTTTAACATACCATAATGAATTATGAGGCTATGCCATCTTGGGTCTGGTATTGATATGAAGTTGTACTGATGTTTCCGTTTGTCATTTTGTCAATTTCGTACTGTGACATGGTGATGTTATAATTGTGTAATGCGTAGGTGACATTCGGAAGATTGTGTTCACATTGGCTAAACCTTCACATTTCAGTGTCCATTAATCTGCACATATAACGTTGTTTTGTTTGTTTGTTTGTATTTATTTTTTATTTTTTATTTTTTTGCAGGTATGGTGTTTCGTCTTCATCAAACATTTACATTTGCACAGGTGATTCATGGTGTTGGTTCATCAAATATTCGAACGATACATTAGCTTCGAGGGGTCAACAATATGTTTTTTAACATTTCTTGCTACTATTTTTGTCTTTTGAAAGGCAGTGATGCTTGCCTTCTTGTGGCCAATTGAGTTGAAGTCTGAGTTGATGAACGTGATCGTAGTGTTCACCCATCGGCCTTACATCTTGAGCTCTGTCGTTTAAAGTACGTGCAAAAATATTAACAATATCAAATTAATGATTTAACAATCATTCTTTTTTCGACATTAGGTGGTTTTCCCACTTGGTGTCTGAACATTTCATGCCCCCTAACACCACTAACTGACATATTCCTAAATGTTATACATATACATACAGCCAATGTCATAGTGTGCATTCCGCAACTAATTTTTTTTTAAAAAAAACACAAACATCATGACTAAAATATGTAGTACATACTCGCAAACATTATAAGATTTTCCATTGTTTTTATCACGATTGAATTGTGCAACGAAAGTGAGGAAACCACAAGCTAGTTAGTTAAAATTATCCAACAGTAGTCACGCTCATTTACCCATCAACATCGATATACAAATGGAAAACAAAGAGCTACAAATCATTTGCGTTCAAGGGTGTTGAAATGTGTTGGTACGCAAAAGACATGATTGTTACAATTTTCGGATTCTCGACGTTGTTGGAAGTGTCCTGAATATATCAAATTCAATATCACGTAAAAAGTTCAAGATTAAATTGTGGGTCTAATTTTTTAACCTTGATATATGGTGTCGTAATAAAAATTGATGGACTTATCATCACACATTAGCATCCACAGATGACTAACCACAAAAACAACAACACAAACATAGGCCCAACAACAATCATAGACCTAACAACAACAACAACAACACGACAGCT